TCAGGGTCCTTCAAATAGAATGATCTGGAGACGGACCAATTTTACGGAAAAAACTATCCCGGTTAAGTCAAGTGATTGGGTTATCTACCGACCGTGATCTGGCATTGCACATCACCATTCAAAAATCAAATTATAAGATAATGTTTTGTTAAATCAATCAACAAATTACTAAAAACTAACTCTGACTACATTTTATTATCAGCTTCTACTTTAAAAGTAACAATTTTATAGATTTGCAATGAAATTAAGAATTTTTCGTTCCTGGTGTCAAGATAAAAATCTACCGCTCATATTTGAAAATAGGTCCGAGTTTCATGAGCTTTTTTTAATTTATGCATTGTTCAATGACAAAATAGAAATTGATTTTACAGAAAAAAGAGGTTATTAAATCGTATCATGTAGAAATATTATAATATTTTCTATTTGAAAGAGCCTGGTTGTATCCTTTTTTGAATGTTAAAATCAAACCCCTTAAATTGGACTGGTCCCTATTTAAAGGCTGGACAAATCCATTACACAAATGATTGAGATACAGTTTGTCTATCTTTTTGTTAAACATCACTAAATATATATATTTTAGGAAAGGGGTAACAAAATATTCACTGTATTACATTTTTGTTCTTTTCTAATTTGCTATGAACCACTTTCTCAACATGTCAGAGAATAAATCTAATTTGCCACTAATAACATGAGAAGATTCTCCACGTAATGCAATGTGTTTTTAAATTTCAGATGCGGTAATAAAATATTTTGTTCATACAAATACAAACTGTTTTTTATTTTTTTAATAAAAATGATTCAGTTTAAAAAAGCAAATACATGTATAACATGAAATAACCCTTTGATAATAAGAATAACGATACAAATTGATCATCAGAATAACGATTCATATTATTTGAATGACAATAGATATTTATTATTTGAATCACGATACATATTATTTGAATAAGGGCATTTATTGATTATAAGAATAACGATATAAATTGACTATAAAGATATAGAGGATATTTGTTTGTTTGTGTGTAAGATGAAATTTTATTTCATCGAGTGGGTTTTAAAAACAGTATTCTCACGAGTGGCGTAGCCACGAGTGAAAATACTGTTTTTAAAGTTCACGAGATGAAATAAAATTACATCTTACACAACAAACACACACATTTTCTTTTTATTGTATGCTAAAAAACAAGTTAAAACGAAATTTCCTTAATATTGACGTTAACATTAAAATCTCTTTTCCCAATTTAGAGCCTCAAAAAAGTCGAATTTTTTATTAAATACAAGAAGTCATGGGCTGAAAAATAAGTTCCACAATCAACGTTAAATGGTGGTGATAGTATTCATCTTATTAAAAAATATGTCTGACCGCTTGTTTAAATAATAAAAACAAACAATTGTAGTAGGAGAAAAAGACCAACCATCCATCCATATTTCTGTTACTGACTGCGAATTTATATTAGTCCTGGCTATGTTAATGTAAGCGGCCGCCATTTTTAAAGTTGTGTATTTCACTGGATGAAAATAATTGTGTTTGATTCAGAGGGATCATTTGGATGTGTTAGTCATACACCTTTTTAAAAGAAAGAAAACTTATTTGAGGATTGTAACAGACAATAAATAAGTGTTGACAGATGTGTAAACATTCAAAAAAGTGGATAGGAAATTGGAAAACTTGGAACCCTTACGAACGCTGGGTTGTTTACATATTCTTCGACTGAAAGCTGCCATTGCTTTTTTAAGTTTTCATAAAGCATACGGTAGTTATTGCTCGTAGGATACTTAAATATTCCCAAATGTCATCAAGAGCAGTTTTGAATGTGGAAGGAATGTATTTTTCAGACTGTAAAAATGAAACAAAAAATTAAAGAGACGATATTTGGTGATTGGTAATTTGAATGAAAAGAAGTAGCTTACTGTAAGTTTTCTTCTTTTTATTACTTTTGACATATAAGTTATTTATCAATTTCAGCTTTGCTTTTTTTAAACAGCCTGACATTGTCGGAATAGTCACCAAAAATAAAATTGAGGTACCACATGGGGAAAATCTTAAAAAAGTAGTTTCGTCATTGAAAAGTGTGAAATTATATTTTGATAATTTTCACTGTGAAATTATCAAATACAATTTTCACGGATAAATCAGTAATCCTCTGAAAAGCATAAAATAAAACGATGCATTAATAACAATACAATTAAATATAAGAATAACGATACATATTGATTATAAGATTAACGATACATATTGATTATAAGAATAACAATACATATTGATTATGAGAAAACCGATGCATATTGATTATTTGAATAACGGTACATAATGATTATGAGAATAACAATGCATATTGATTAATAGAATACCAAAAGAATAATGACACATATTGATTATAAGAATAATGACGCATATTGATTATAAGAATAATGACGCATATTGATTATAAGAATGATTTTGCTTCATTTGTTAAATCTACCCTGGAATGACAGAATCGTTGCATTGACCGGACACATGTATCAGTGCATTTTAATAAGTAAATGTAGTCAAAATGTGACTTTGACCAAGACATGTCGTCGAAATGTGCTACACATTTATATAAAATCATTATAAAATACATCAATAAATGACAAAGTTTTGGACCTGACACAAAGTGTCACAAAGGACGAAGTGACGTAACAACATCGGGCAGAATGACCGACGGACACTGCAAAAACTATTTGTCTCCCCACACTTAGGGTGTGTGTGTAGGGGGGGGGGGGGCTGTCATTGATGGAAAATTTTGCATCCATATATTGAGAGACAAATATCAACGATATATCAATAAATCAACTTTGACAGTAGGTACAATGAAACATATTTAAATATGTGTTATAAATTGGGATCATGGTGCTATGCATGTATGTGTAAGACATTACAATGACTAATCAAAGCACAAAAGGCGCTGAATTTGTTTGGGTCTCAGAATGTAAGAAAGGTACAGGTTGTAAGATTATATGTATAGTGCCACCAATGCTTTCAAGCGTTTTAATTGTAGTAAATTGGCTATAAGACTAATTGCAACACTGATATTCAATCCAATGTTTATTTGACTTAAACAATTTGAAAACAAATGAGTTGGCTTTACTGGGATTTGAACTCCAGACCTTTCGCTTCCTAAGCGAGCGCGAAAACCCCTCAGCCACGGTGAATTTATATGTGAACGGCCTGAAGAAAACCATATTATTCTAAATTAGGACTTGTAACGACTTTAACTGTTGTTTAACACAGACGAAATAATCCTGGAGCTTACTATAAGCATGTATATTTATAAAGAATCAAAGGGCTGCAAGCTATGTGGTATTTTCTGATCTTTGCAATCTAAATCGTGCTGTATATCTGTATGTATTTTCCTGTATAAGTTTATTTTTATGTACTATAATTCATCTTGCAAGGCACCAGAGTTTGATACATACGGAATTTTGCATAACTAGAGTTGCATCAAAAAATCATGTATGTTCATTTTTTTATGACAGCCACACTTTATCCTTGCATATCATGGCTACTTCCTTAACAAAGACACTTAAAAAAGAATTAAAAAAAAAAAGTTTCCTCGACTGGGATTCGAACTCAAGACCTCTCACTCACTAAGCGAGCGCGAAGTTATACAAACAATGCCTGAATAAAATCAAGTCATTCTAAACTAAGAACTTCCATTGCATTTCGGGTTTGGATTCCTTATTAATTTCGAGGTATTTTGTTCACGATAAACCTGTTGTAAATAATTTAGCGAAAATATTCTCGCCCAAACAGCCCGACATGTTGAATCTATATATTCCACTTCTCGGCAGTAAGATTTCTTTGTGAAGTATTCGGTAATCGACATCGCTAGAATCTATATACAATGTATTCCACGTACTACTCGGTTTGTGTAGTATTCGGTAATCGACATCGCTAAAAATAGTATTTTCATTGATACAAGAGCCATGTCAACATGGCACTCCCCCGCCGAATGTGTTTGCCCATTGGAAGAATGTATATGTAGTAGAGCAGAATAATTCCATTTTAAGAGGTCTTTTGGTAATGAAAACTGATGGCTATAGTGATTACAGATTTGAAACCTATGTGAACACTGATGGCTGAAAATAAAAAAGGGCAATAACTGAAGAATAATGCGGGGTAGGTTATCATTCTTGTGTGCTGTATCCCTCCTCAGTAAAATCTATCCACCTACGAAGTTTCAAGTTGATACCTCAAATACTTTTTGAGGAAAAAATTGAATTGAAAAATTAAGTATGAAAAATAACAAAGGGCAATAACTCAAAAATTATGAAAGGTAAAGTTATTATTCTTGTGCACTGCACACCTCCTGAGTGAGATCTATGCACCTATGAAGTTTCATAATGATATCTCAAAGGCCTTTTGAGTTATGCTCTGGACAAAAATTAATTTTGAAAAATACAAAAGGGCAATAACTAAACAATTATGCAGGGTAGAGTTAAAGTTCTTGTGCACTGCACTCTTCCTCAATGAGACTCACCCACCTATGAAGTTTCAAGTTGATACCTCAAATACTTTTTGAGATAAGCTCCGAACAAAATAGTATGAAAAAGAACAAAGGGCAATAACTCAAAAATTGTACAGGGAAGAGTTATCATTCTTGTGCACAGCATTCCTCCTCAATAAAATCTATCCACCTATGACATTTCATGTTGACATCTCAAACACTTTTGAGTTATGATCTAATGTAGTCAACAAATATGGGAGAATCAAAATTGTTATAAAAATATTACGGAAAATAAAGTTGTATTAAAATATATGTTTTTTGCTTAGAAAATGGCAGTTATTACCTTTTACCTTTGAACCCTCGAAATTTCATTTTGTAGTCCGTTGCAAATGAATTCATTTTCACCTATGTTCTACATACAATGTAGTGTATGAAAGTTAAGGTATAGAAAAACAAAGTTTAGGTATTGAAATAATTGATTATTTGCTATCAATACACAATTAATATAGAATTATAATACAAGCTTGACCTTTAACTTGCACGTGTTTTATAACTGTCAAGACTTTTATAAAGTTCATTTTCTAGATCAACATATCTGGGATCGTCACCAAACGCATACATCGAAAGGTAATTTGTCAAATAGGCGACTCCTATACTATTTTTAAGATCTGCCATGGCTACCTGTCCCCCGTTGCCGGAATGTCCAAAGATAAGTTCGCCCCTAGGATTTTCCTTGAAGCCTGTTCCTGGTCCGAATTTTGTTTCTACTCCTAATGTTTGATCTTCGCCGGAAACAAGAGGTGTTGCTAATATTTTGATGGCTTTTTCTGAGAGAAGTCGTTGATTATTTTCGTCCACACCACTGTTGCTAAGTATACCATATACCTTCGCGAAACCTCGTGCAGTACCGGTACCATAGCAACATGACAAAACATGTTCTGTATAATAAGGATTATTAAGAAGTAGGGATGAACCTTGAGCAAACTCTTTAACTGCCTTCGCACCAGTGGCAACTAATGAATTTGGATCTGTGGCGAATCTATAAAAGAGTGAACTATATCGAGAATTTGTACAAGATTTTAAAACAGCTTCCACGCGGATTTTTCATACCCCTTTTGCCCACGGTAGACTTTTCGGGGCCTATTCATAAAAGCTATATAAAAACGGTTTTTCCATCTTTTTCAATGAAACATTTTTCCGTACTTTTTACGTGGATCTATTTTTGGGATAAGTGTGTCGACGTAAAGACCGTACGTAAGTGAATGATAACCATGAGCGGAACCTGCCGGCCATGCAGTTTTCTGGACACTTAAACTTCTCTCTACTTTTTCCGGATTGGCTGTGATATCGAAAAGTCCGATTGGCTCATCAAGAGAAACTAAACCTGCTTGATGACTCAGCAGCATTTCAACAGTGATATTCCCTTTGTCGTTTTGTGCGAATTCAGGCCAGTATTTAGCAACAGGATCTTTGTAATTCAGTAAACCTTGCTCAACCATTCTGGCCACCATAATTGCTGCGATACCTTTAGTATTCGAGAATCCAAGGGTCATTGTATCCTTCTGCCACGGACGCTGAGCTTCCAAATCGGTGTATCCACCCCATATATCCACTACTATTTTGCCTTTATGATAGACTGCAAATGCTCCTCCGCGTTCTTTACCACTTTCTAAGTTTTCTTTAAATTTGTCCGCCACATTCTTAAAGGCAGGGTGATACTATCCATCAAACACAATAGGAAGCTTGGGTTCCAAGAATGATTTGATATACGTGAAAAGCACAATTAAACAACAAAATATTACGCTCTGCTTTATGAATCCCATATTGGCATATAAAATTTGCACATGTGATAACGCAAGTGACGCTTATTTACTATGACGTCAAAGCGCCCTCTATCGGTGGCGGTGAAATTGCGTCTTTTTTATCAATAAACCGAACTGTTCTTATCAATTTTCATCCGATTTCCTTCATTTTAATTTTATAATGTTCAGTAAATGTATGTGTTTGTAATGATGTCTTTCTTTAACATTAACTTAATAGTCTGCGATTCTACGTCATTTTTCTCTACGTTCAGACGTCCATATTTGATGCAAATATCGCGCGATATCGCATTAAAGATTGTGTAATAAAAAGAATTCAACACGGTGAATTTTGCTATAATTTTCCGAGCGTGTAGTGAGATAGTGAAGAAAAATATTTATGCAATACAAATATAGGGTCAACGCGTAAGATATTTTGCTATTACTGTTTTAAAATAAAATAACGTAATGATTTTTGTGACGTTAATAGATGTTGGCGTTCAAAGAATAATACCAAATAACAATTTTCTTACGTCAAACATAACGATAGTAAGTATAAACAACACAGGGACTTGATGAAATGTATTTTTTTAAATTGTTGTTTATTTTCTCATTGAAAGCATGCGCTAGATGAGCACATTTACAATGTTTAATCCAAAAATCCCTTTTTAAATACTTTTCTAATTTGCAGGACACAGTTTCATACATCTTTTAATTCTAATTTTATAATGTGATGTTGTTAAAGTGTTATATTATTATATGATTTAACTAGTTTCAGTCCAAAAAAATAAGATTCACATATTGCTGTATGAATGAAGTAAGAATATTAGGTCGCTTAGCTTATACCCGTAGAATATTTATTTTACGTTACATTCAGCCTTTAAACACTTTCATAAAATCACATACAGGCAGACTAGCCTCGGTGTCAAAACACATCGTAAAATACAAATAAAAAAGATATGCATACAAATGTGCCGAAATAAGCGATAAATAAAAACTAGAAATAATATTCAAATATGTTAAAGGGACTCCACTGAGGTTTTTTGACATGATGGAACTGAAAATATTTTTTCCAGATAAATGTACCATTTGATGTAGGTTTATACCATTAATCTTTGTGCAAAATTTCAGAGCATTCGCGCACTTCGTTTTTCCAGAATAATTATTAAAAATGAAAAGCGTTTAAACGCTTTTCACCCGAATCGGGCTAACAAAAGCATAAAAATTACGATTTTCCATTTATTTCAAAGTATATTTCTTAACTATCTTCGCATATATTTCTGTTTAAAGTGCCCGGCTCATTTATGTAAGAAATTCAAATGTTATGTGTTTGGCTTTTCAACCTCAGTGGGGTCCCTTTAAGAATATTTAAAAACAAACTGTACAAGAAACAGAAACCTTTATTTTATTTTTATTTTTGCTTACCATTTTTAAGTCTGTGCAATACATAGATTATAAAATTATAATCTAATTAAAATGTCATGATAATTAGAAAATGAGCACTTATATGACAAACTATAAACTATTTTGGAAGCAAATTCATACTGAATAAAAAATATATAAGCATATTCGCAACTGCAGACTCGAATGTGAAACACCGAATATAACCATTACTCAACTCGGACTCATTACCGTTTTTTCATTACTGTACAGTATAACATAGCGGCCCTCAAAGTATTATTTATTTCTAAAGAGTTCCACTTGTGCAACTTTTGTTACCACTGAATACGAATAATGTATTATGTTGACGTTATCTAGTTCATTTTTTAATACAATTATACAGTTTGCTTTAAAACAAAATAAAAAGAAGGAAAAAACAACAACCTCAAAAAACACACCAACAACACGTGTTTATCATATTAGCAATAAAATGGACTTCTCCCTTATTAACGGAGATCATAATCAGGTTTTTAACTTTGAATATTCTTCTGTTGCCACGTTGTAATCGGTAAAGTGGTCTCACGCTGAATTCGGAAGGCATGGATTCGAGACACGATTGCGTATTGTACTAATAGATTATCTTTTAGAAATGAAATGTTTCAAGGTCCACCTCGGACTCCTGTCATTCATTTCCAAAGAGAAGTTGATACTGTGAGAAACACTGGTTTCGTTAAATATCCTCTGCTTTAATTGAAATACTGTTGAAAGCGGCGTTAAACCCAATATTAAAAAAAAATAAGAAGATATAAAACATAAAATGCATAGTTCATTATTTTCATAGTCTCTACATAGCACTGCATTATGTGCAGACAAAAAACGAGCTTCTCCCACAACCAAAATCACACAAATTGAGAATCCTACATAATCGCCTTCAATACAAGGGAATCTGTATTTAATATGCAAAATTCTCCGCTTCTAAACATACAAAATAAATCAACGGATTTTTCGCCTCTAATCGAGAAATGATCGCGGCTTCAGGTCGACTCAAAGATGCGCTAGTAAACGCATACCGCGAGTCAGCTAGTTTAAAATAAATAAGAATATCTATAATTATGTGAAATACGTGAGAAATTAAAGCCATAGCATGAGAGCGTGATTCCTGTTTTAAATCTGAGTCTCACGCTTAGTGCAGGGTATTTAGCTGCGAGAGAAAATAGAATAACTGATGGCTGTTAATAAATAAATTTTTATACGTGTAGAAAATTTTTGAATTAAATGTCTGCTAGATTTTATAATATAAATAAGACTACTAGTGAATCATGACTTAGTACAAATCGTTGCTACTTCCAGTTGATCATATATTTTTGAAACGTAAATTTGATTCATTTCCTACCACAGACATAGATGTTATTTATGTCTCTGTTCCTACTTACTGATATAATTATACAAGTCAAAAATTGTTACATATATGATAACATGGAAGTTTATGTTGTACCGAGATACACATAACTATGATGATATTGCGACTGCATCAGCCTTTTCATTCTTTTTCTGACATTCTTTGCAAAATTTATGTTTTTATAATTTCCCCTTAGGTGGCCTTTTAATTATATCTTTCAATATTCTGAATTGTCTTTCAGTCCTCGAGGTATTTATATCCATTCCTTGCAGTTTTTTCAGCGATTGATACCAACTTTTGCAGACAGTTATACCCTGATTTGTTGTGCATGTATATAATTGAAGATATTCATCGAAAAGCAGGCATCTGACAGGACTTTTAAAAGAACATTTTACGGAACATGTCTACATACTATTGTTGTTGATGGTTTTCACACATTGTTATTCCTGTCAGTATGTTATTTATCGAAAAAGTCGTGAAAATTTCCTTGAGAAAAATATTTGACGTCACCAAAATCATTACGTTTTACTCACCGTTCTATTTTATATTCAAATAGTAATAGCAAAATATCTTACGCGTTGACCCTATATTTGTATTGCATAAATATTTTCTTTTATGACTTCACTATGTGTTAAAAAAAAATTATAGCAAAATTCACCGTGTTGATTTTTTATTATTTCACAATCTTTATTGCGATATCGCGCGATATTTGCATCAAATATGGACGTCAGAACGTGAGGGAAAATAACGTAGAATCGCAGAGTATTAAGCAAATGTTCAAGAAAGACATCATTACAAAGACATACATTTACTGAACATTATAAAATTAAAATGAAGGAAATCGGATGAAAATTGATAATAACAGACCGGTTTATTGATAAAAAAGACGCAATTTCGCCGCCACCGATAGAGGGCGCTTTGACGTCATAGTAACGCTGTTTACTTATAAAATAATGCTGCAGAAATAAAGCTTACATATCTACATGTCTGTATACAAGAAATCATCAAGATCTGAAATATTGTCAAATTTCGGTCGGAAAGTAGCGAGCTACCTTAACGGTACAATTTAATACAAGAGACCATCCAATCGTGTTAGAATTAATAATATTATGAGAGATGATCCGAATGCATGGTATAGATAGCTTTAATTGGTTCCCTACTAAAATTCAAACATTTGTTTAAACTAAATCATATGCGCTCAAAATTAAACCAGCATTCAATACAATCGCTATCTTAAATTTACTACACAAAATCAACATTAAGCCAGTTCACTAGAAGGTGATATACACTGCATCGAAAAAAGAAAATATTTATACGAGGGTTTAATTTATAGAACAGTTTGTCAAACATTTGTGTAAAAATAATTCATTTACTTTAACACGTTCTTAATATTTAAATTACTTTAATGGCTTTGTTATATCCCAGATTTATTCATGAAAAAACAATTAACATTAAAAATGAAGATGTAAATATTTGTAGATACTGACTACATATTTAGCTGCTCAGCAATCTATGTTGACTGATTTGTGTCATTTGTGTTTTCGCCCCGCAACCCCGCCAGGCGAATTAATAAGTTGAAATGGTGATGGCCCTGAGCGAAAACACGCTAATAAACAAATAAAACTTCGCCCCGTGGGGGCGCAGAGCGACATTTAAGAAATAAAACGGTGGGGGCGCAGAGCGAAAACACGCTTATTTAGCGAGGGGCGAAGTCTAGCCCTGCGCCCCCGCTAATTAGCCTGTTTTCGCCCCGCGATTAATGCTCTACATGCATACTGCATAACTAATCAAGGGCCATAACTCTGAGTTAAAAAGTCTGACCAGAACAAGACGATGATATGCGCATCTCCTCTTGGAATTGAAGCTTCCCATAAAGTTTCGTGGAATTCCAGTCAATAGTTGCAGAAAAGTAGCGCGGAAACGATTATTGCTCTATATGCATACTGCATAACTAATCAATGGCCTTAACTCTGAG